AGCCTGTCCTTTCTCATCTTTATGTGGCTGACCCACCTGAATAAGATGCTACTGTAGACAAGTTGTACAAAAATTATGGTAGCACAAAGAAAGGTACAAAATGCATTTTCTCCCCTCCTGGATGGCCTTCAGGAAAGACAGGAGGCTAAAAGAAATTATGTTTAAGTCCAATAGCGTATTGTTTTTCTGTCTGAGCAGTAGGCAGAGAAAAAGCCCTGTGCATGTGCTCTGAAGCTGCCCAGACACAGTAACCAGAAAGAACATAAGCCAACAGCACAATACTGTGCCTGAGGTGGCCCTCCAGTTCGAAGAGAACAAGGCTTGCACTTGTGTTACTGTGTCTGTATTGCTGCTTCAGAACTAAAATCAGCCACAGTCGTCTATCTCTTTTCTTTCAAGAAGCTGCACAGGTATTAAAGTTGAGTTTTGGACAGACTCAAAAATTTTCATGTATTATTCAGAATTGAACATTTAAGGGGAAAGTAGACATTTGTCAAACTATGCTACTCTCAATACATTTCATTAAATACCCAATATAAATTCTATGAAACACTAGCACATCTCTTACCCCTTGAACTGCCTGAGCCGGTTGAAAGACTGGATATTTTCCCCTTGTTTTCCTTTTTTATTCCATTTCCAAATGTAATAACATTGGAAGTACAAATCAAGAATATTTTGTGACTTGTGGCATGGCATCTTTCATCATCATTCATAGAGGTCTTACCCTAAAAAAGAGGCTTCAATATTTTATTAATAATTACTTTGGAAAAGATTTTTACATTTTAATTCAAAAATAATAATAATCTCTTGCTAATTGCAGGGGTTTGGAGGCGGGAGGGGGAGTTGTCCCAAGGACAGAAAAACTTCAAATAGCTATCCATTTTCACATGTGGCTTTTTTCAGTCTCCTTTGTATAGTGTTTTAAGGATCCCATAATTGGACCATAGCTTAGATTGTAAATTGATGAATTATGAAAAGAACATTAAAATTTTCCCTTGATTTTACTTAAATATTTCACTTCCCGCAGTAGCACAGATCTGGAGACTGTGCTCAGAAATATCCCCCAAAAAGGCCTGCGAAGCTCTCCAGAGCAAATCAGAGATCTCTGGTTTGTTTCTTAAATGATCAATTTGATGTTCTGTCTTCTAATTAATGAAGATCTCCCAGCAAACCCACAGCTGGTTCAGCCACACAAATCTTAATAGTCAGGTGTCATTACTTCAGAATTAGTTCTTTTACTTGCCTTGCATCACTTCTCTGAGTTTCATTCCTTGATCAGAACTTGATACCTGATGCCTTTCAGATTAATTCCAACTAATTTTTCATGGTTGTTACTTCTAATGGTGAAGGTAAGGCAGCGCTGGTTCAACACCTCTCAGCAGCGGAGGCAGCATTTTACTGCTTGGACTATAAGAAGGGGCAAGGGCATGGCAGGTAGAAGGTAGGAGGGGCACAAGGGGCAGGCAAGCCCAGTATTGCCAGGCTCGCTGCTCCTGCTGCTTGGGGAAACGAAAAGGCCAAGGGCCTGGCACATGCCGGGGCTCCCCCAGCCCTGCCTGCACCCCCCCAGCACCAGCTGCAGCAGCTCTCCTTGGGCTTCAACACCAAGCAAGGGGTCTGCAAGGTCCTGGCCCTTCCTGCCCTGCTCAGCAGCTCCCAGGTCACTGCCTTCTCTGAGGAAAGCCTAGAGCCCCTTCTGAAATAAAATGTGTTATAACACGTACCCTAGAAAAATACTATGTTAACATCAGAAACATCGTTAACTTTCATAACAACAATTAATATACTTGCCTTGCTTTGATCATGGCAGCATGTCAACAACTTTTGTTTAAAGCACAAATTTTGCTTTAAATTCGGTGAAAGTGCTCCAGTGAAAGTACTTCTCTTTAGGCCTCGGTTGTGCTACGCTCATTAGCTGTAGCTAATCTAACTCCTAAACTGAATAAACATAATTAGTTAATGTTAAAGTTTTAAAAGTAATCCTGACCATGCTTTTGGGAAGGTGGAAATGGTATTAGAGTTGGTCAGAATAAAATTAAAACAAAATTGGCAAAAAATAAATACTGGGATTTCATAACATTTTCAGAAATTTTTCATTTAACTTCCAAATCACCACAATTGCTGTCTACATGATACATATATGTGTGTACGTGTGTGTGCAAGAGAAAGAGATACAAGGATGAAACTAAGGTGAAGAAAGCTGCGACAATACAAGATTAACAGCTCAACACTTTTCAGCTACGTAGTAGTTTGCTGAGAACATTAAAATCTACCTGTTTTTACTTTAATGCGTTTCTGTGAGCAAACTTTTAAAAGCATACAAGAATAATGAAAGAAAAGCTTTTGATCCCTCCCTTCTTTAATTACATTTTAAAAACTTTCTAATGAGAAATAAATGGTCTGACTTAAAAATCAGCATCTATAACATTGTATCCAGAATTTTGTAGACAGCAAGGATTAGAGTCATTTAATAGCAGCCTGCATCAGCGTGTCAGGCAGAACAGCCAGCATGGAGCAAAACGCCACTTCAGCCACCCATCTCCCGCAATCTGTAACTACAGATCAGAATCTGGGCTGATGGCCTCTTAAAATAACAGGCTGTAGTTGTCACAACAAGTTTAAAAACTGGAAAGCTATTGGAAAATAAATGTATTTTACTGAATACTTGGAAAAATCTGGATAATATATTCCGGGCCAAACATGAAGTGAAATATCTCATCTGCTGTTTAAGAAGTGGTATTTAATTAACTATTGAATTCCACTCAGTTATTCAAGGCAAATGATGGTCAGTATTGATGGGACAGATATTTCACCATTTTCATTGCCTGAACTGCAGGAAGCATCCCAGCAATGAGTAGTCTAGAACAACCAGATTCAGTAGCTGTACCATCAGATAAAGTATTCTGATTTTGCATATTGATACAGCTAAATATATACAATATGAATAATAAAGTCAGCTTTAAAGATACATAGCCTCAGTTATAAGAGATGTAACTCAAATATTGACTTTTAAAATACAGTTGATTTTTTTGGCCTGTTATCATTATATTCTTCTGGGTTGTTACTCTCATCACATTTATTTGGTGGTGATTTACTGTTCCTTGTACATAATAGAAACACTATTTTTTGTAATGTATACATAGACCATTCAAATTCAGACATATGGCTGTCATCAATAATATGTGTTTTTTGTTGTACCTTAATATTCAAATTTTGACATTACAATTCAGAAACTGGACAACAATGTTAAATCCATAGTAAATAATCCAATGTTAGTAAAAACCTTTGAGTGCTAAAGGAATCACTGAATAAAAAATATTTAACTGTTCTCTCTCAATTGCATCTATGAGTTTTTAACACACTAAGTTGTTATTTGGCCCACTTGGATGCAGAACATTAGAAAGCAGTTGTCAGAGAGTCCGTCTAGAGTGAGAAAATTATTTTTCTGAAAGCAAGCCAGGACAGATAAGATTACCAGTAAGGTTGCTAGTGCACAAAATTGTACAGATTTATGTAGAATTGCATGACTTAAGAGCTTGGACTGTTTTAATTTTAGTTCTCATAATATTTGTGTTGCTTTTAAACGTAAGTAAATTAACATTTATAAAACTGTACTTTTTTGTAGCAATAAATAACAATGTTTAAAGTAAAATCAACAATATCTTCCCTGTTCTGAATTATTTAGGGTATTTCCAGGCTAGGGTATGCTTAAACAGCGTATAACGTTGCAGCTGCTTCTAACCCAAATATTTTTTTCCCTAATTCTCTGAGCAAAAATGTTTACTGTTACGTTCTGCCTAGGTAATAGGTGCAAGATCTTTACTAAAATTGCCTCCCCTATGGAAGACAGAGCTGTAATCTAGCACATATTCTACTAGTGATGTCATCTGGAATAAAACACAGATTGAGACATTTGAGTAGTATGTTCCTCATATCTCTACCTATTTACCCAGGGAAATATTTCAACTGCTATTAAGTAATACAAAGTAAAGCTGCTAATTTTTCAAATATGATATTATGATGCTCTAAAACTTTTGCCCGTGTTATTTTCTCTTAACCTTTCTGACAAATCTGACTTCTGAAGTTATTATATCTGGCTACAATATCTAACTAAGATAGTTTTAAGATGCCAGTTACCCTTGTACCAAAGTAGCAAATCTAATAAGATCTGTAATGGAAATAACATTATCTTTTATTTCCATATGTATATACCATATAAACCCCATCAAATAGCATGCTGAATTTCCTACCTGTGCTTGCCTTATCTTTTTTGCGTAATTTTTCCAGATCATTAATACCTGCAGTTCTTGTTTATAAAACCCTGCCTTCTCATATGGATTTTTTTAATTCAGCAAAGCCATGTTGGATTTTTTAACCACTGTTCATGCTTTCCAAAAGCTCTAGATACGTTGTCCCTTTCAAATAATAACACACCCACCTACAGTTCCCGTTTGGTAATAACTATAAAAATGCAGATGCTGGCACAAGGCAGGTATTAATATTCATATTATTTCATTATTAATTTATTAATGAATATTATCATAGTCAGTGGTCTGAAGTGAATATGGTTCTCCAAGAGTACAGCCTTAAAAAAAGAAAAAAAAAAAAAAAAAAAGGAGGAAAAGGATAAAAAAAAAAAAAATAAAA